CCGTAACGTTATGCAAATCTGTGATTCCCAAGCCATAGTCTTATGCAAATCATGCCGTGTGGCGTAATTGTCTGCTGACCAATCAGTGGCTGTACTTTCAAAAAGCCAACGGCCACTTTCAACCATCTGTCGATGACCGTTACGACTAAAAAAACTTCGCTAGGTCTTACTTTCAGGGGGAGGTCTTATATTTCGCAATTCAGCAAAATCTGTGCTAGGTCTTATTTTCTGCGGATGTCTTATTTTCGGGGAAACACGGTATATAGATGTAGATTATAATCACAGTAAAATATTTTAAATAACGAAACCAATACAACAATGACATATTTGTCTATGTATGCCTGCAATATGTGGTCAATGACAATCAAAGACTCGGCATATTACCATTTTGTGACATCACTGTTTAAAGTAGGGTCGGCCAACGCGTAGACTGCGGTCGACCGCAAAAGTTTTGAAAGTAGCCCGCGAAGCTAAAGTTGAACAATTTGCTTTCACTTAAATTAATGTTTAAAAATCTTAATTCGATAAATTATTCTTACAATAATAGACTGTCTGTGCAACGTACCCATACTGTTTGTATTTATCCCGATGAACAATGCAAATGAATGTTAATGCACGCGCATATAAAAATCCTAAAATTGTTTGCCCATATTCATAGTCGCCCGCAGACTATATTTTACCGAAAAAGTAGCCCCTAAGGGATAAAAGTTTGGCAACACCTGGTTTAATTAAGGAATAATATCCTAACAAAGTTTTGACATGATATTCAACAGCTATGTAATTTTCCGGAATTTGTATTAACATTTTTCAGACAATACTATTTTTAAACTGATTCATATTTATTGCCTATTGTCTCAATAATTTTTTCTTTAAAATTCTGCAAATTTTCTCTGTAGAGGAATGACCTGAGCATCATGCAGGCCGTGGTAAATTTTTATTTAGGCCTATTTCTAGCGAAGTGACTCGCTGATTATGTTAATTAAACTTGTACAGTTCAATGTTATCTTGATAGAATGAGAAGAAACGATTCCGCAACTGCACTCTTCTGAAAGTAAGCAAGTTAGTTTCCAAAACATGGGATATACGCCTAGGCTTTCATCAATCCATTATAGAAATATAGTCTACTTATACAACGAGCAGAAATACACGCAAATATCATTAATAATGCTTGCATCTGGTCTTGATGCCAGCAACACTACCACTGCATTTTCTGGCGTATAAGACGACTTTTTAACATAGGAAAATCCTCTCAAAAGTCGGGGATCGTCTTATTATACGCCTGAAAGTACGGTAGTTGTTTGACCTGTACTTATAAAAATCACTTTTAATCAATATTTTCAAAACAAATTTGGAGAGAGGATTTGTCAGATAATAGAACAGTTTTTAATTCAGCTGTTATTCAGAGGTGATGCTATCTTGATTACCCAAACTGACGACAATTTTCCAACTCTGAGAGTGATATCTACTGTATTTCTGAAATTCAGCAGATATTGCTAGATAATGCGGTATTTTCGAAATTCCTACTTTTTACTGAAACAATACAGTGATACAGTGAACAAATACTGCTAGATGAAGAGACGTAGTNAAAGGTAATTATCTATATATATATTAGAAATATGAATTAGAAAGTTTAGAGATTTGGTTGTTTGTTTGCTATATACGCCTAGACCGTAAAACGAAATGCTACGAAACTCGGCAGTTACATTCTTATACCGCTGAATTAGATAATGTCGAACATCGCACCCGAAACTATTTATTGAATTTCTATAAATTAATTAATTTTTTCCATTCGATTTGCTGATTTACACATAGCGCCAATAGATTGTGAATAAACAAACAAAATGCTTTAATCAGCAATTAAATTTACTTAAATTAAAATCGCGAGAAAATCTTTTGAAATATAGTTAATAATAAAAAAAATTCCCAAAAGTACGAATTCGTCTTATTTAAATACAAACAAACTTTTTTAACCAGTAACAGAACTTTAACGCAACTTCTGAAAGCTTTGTTTTCTTCACGTTAGTAACACTTAAAGTCCAGCTTTCCATAAAAGTCTTTTCGGGATACATCTACTTTGGTTTATCGCTGATCTGGCACGTTGTCCTAACCAAATAAACGAAACTAATTCTAACGAACGATTATTTATTGTGACATCGTGACAATGACGGGCTGCAACTTCTTGTCACAATGTTATCAATTTCTTTAGTGGTGTCTTGCTCCCTATAGTTTTTCTTGTTAGCAATAGAGTTGTGTCGGTCATCTATCTAATTCCGTTCAGAGAAAATTTTGAACTAATGTAACATGACTTTCGGTTTGCCTAAAAAGTTCATATCTAGTTAATCTAGGTCTCTTGCTCCGAACCATATCTGGTGTCGACTTTCGTCTATCTAACACATTTCTCGAGTTTATGGACAGATAGACATACAGATAGACAATGGACATCAGTCCGAATTTATTGGTCTACAATTTTTTCAAATTGCAGCCGATAATTTTTCTATGAACGCGATATTTACGAGAACATTCTCTCTTTCGGGAGGGAGTCAACGACTACTTTTCGTCGAATTACTTCGACCTCCTTCCACAACAGACTCATTTTTATCGGACAAGTGATATGATGGCATTCAATAGAAAAATTGTATAATCCAATGTTACCGTCCAGCATAAAATACGTTTTAAGTGATTTTCGAGAGTGCTGAATTTAAATATATGATCCATTTTTCGCAAAATTTGATTGATTACCATTGGCAGATTACTATTTGATATTCAGCTGCGAGTGGTACAGTTTCTTAGAGTTTATATTAGGAAAAGGTATGATATCTTAAATTTTTTAACATATATTTTCAATTGGTGTCTACATGACCAATAAGATTGTGACATTTTGTACTGTCTGATTATGGCGATAAACGTGACAATGGTATAAATAACCAAAATAACCAGACTTTTTCTATAGTTTTCGTTTTAATATTCGTTATATTATAGTGTTTGATTTATATAACTACGAAGATTATCTTATTTAAGAGTTCTTTATTCTTCCACTGTACACAATTGAAAAGTTTTTTAAAATGTGTTAGATTGGTCACTCGGTGCGATAAACCTTTGTAAATATAAATGATATACAGTAATATAATATACATAGCAGGTAGGCTCGGCGTTGCTCGGGCAAAAGTAACGATAGCGAAGATTAAAATTATTAGGTTATAGTCAACCTTTCCCGTTTTCACAGAATGCAAGAATTGGATCCCCCTGTTTCCGGACTAATCACAGAATTTTTAGACGGGTCTAAAAATATGTTCGATTTCCCGCAAAAACGAAAAAAAAAACTGCATCTGTGTCTTGCACGTCGCTTTCTCTTAACAATTTCATTGTTACGTAACACTTCCGTTGTTAACACTTACATTGTTACTTAACACTTCCATCAACAATGAAAATGTTAAGGCTTAATCCTGTCTCTCTCCCCCGTGGGGAAAAATTTCGAAAAATCCTTTCTTATTATGCATTCTTGTGACGTACCCTAACTGTGTGTCAAATTTCAACTTTCAACTCCTAACCGTTTGGTCTCTGCGCTTATTATTATTATGTTGGGTTTAGTGGGTTATACTGGGTTCACACCGGTGGCTGTGCACTATGCCGGACCAGAGTCAAGGTATAGTAACCAAAAACAAAAATTAAATAAGTGTGTCAGTCCATATTGTTAGTAAATTCAAGAAATTCCTAACAGTGTGGCATGTATTCAATAGAGTGGCATTCTGTTGTGTTATGTATGTATTTTTATTCAATTGTAATGTTCCCAGGCTTTTGTGTAGTGTGTGTGGTATCACACCGCGCACAGGAGAGAACGACAAGTATAATAAGCACCCTGTCCATCCTCCACAGATGTCTTATTTCCTGGGCGAGTTCTGTGTACTTGCTAATTTTTTCAGTGCATGTGTTTTGTACATTGTGAGTGTTTGGAATGGCTATGTCTATAATGTATGTGATTTTATTGTGTTTGTCAATGAGTGTGATGTCTGGTCTGTTGTGGTAAATTGTTTTATCTGTGATTATGGCTCTGTCGTAATACATTTTGTGCGTGTTATTTTCCAATACTGTCTGTGGAATATACTTGTAGTATGGTTCGTGGATGTCTGCCAATTTGTGTTTCTTTGCAAGCTCTTGGTGTATTATATTTGCTACTTGATTGTGTCTATGTAAGTAATCTGTCTGTGCCAAGAGCTTGCAACCAGAAGTGATGTGTTGTATAGTTTCTGGCATGATGTGACATTTTCTGCATGTGTCATTTGTGAGTGTTGTATCTTTGAGTATGTGTTTTCTGTAGTTTTTAGTATTTATGACCTGATCCTGTATGGCAATCATGAATCCTTCCGTCTCCCCAAAGAGGCATCCCCGATCTAACCAGCTGTTTGACGCAGTTTTGTCAACAAAATCCTGGGCCAGGTCAAAAGGATGCCTGCCATGGAGTGCCTTTCGAGCCCACGATTGCTTAATGGTGTCTATGCTTTTTATATGTTGTGTCATGTCTGTATGATATGAGTGTAAGTTTAATGGTGCGTTATTTAAATCTGTTAGTGTTATTGCTTTATTTATTATTATTATTATCATTATCATTATCAACCCTTCTTGTTGTTATTTTTTGTTTGGGCAACACGGGCTCATCTGCTAGATACTTTGTAAATATTTATTGTCATATTTGTGGCAGTTGTATAATTTTAAAACAGAAGATACACAGTATATTAAATTTAAGTAAAAATAGTAAAAGTTATAATCGATTGTTAACTAAAAATTAAAAAAACAGATAATTCAAATGAAAGCCATTATAATTTCGATTTTATTGACTTTAAAAAATACTGTGCTTTTGAATTGTTTTTACTTAGCCATAATTAACAGTATTATAGTATACAATCGACTGTTGTCTAATATATTTTTAAAAAATATTTTGTACAGGGACAATGTTGTATCGACATCTGCTTACATGAGAAATACTGTTTATAAAATTTTCACTTTTTAGTTTATTACTCTTGCTCTAAAAGAAAAATAATCATGTATGTGTTCATTTCAAGTGAATGTATAGACCTTTTATTCGCGTTATATGTATTTTATCAATTTTCGAAGGGAGACATTTACACATGAATAAAAATGGAAGTTTATATTTCTTTGATTTCTGGATTCTACTAGAGAATGTAGCTTACTTTACACTGGAAACTGTTAAGTATCTCTTTTGAACGGCTGTTTTATTAAGTAATAATATGTTAAAATATATTCACAAAATAATAACATTCTGTAGATTTAATTGAAAGTACAATGCATGTACTGTAAATGTAGTTTTGCTTGCCTTTAAGATGCTCTTGCTTTTTTGTGAGGTTATGTATCAATATATTCAGCATTTAGCTGTTGTCTTTCTGATAATTACTTTTTCTTGCATTAAGCAATTAATTTATTTTCTTCCCTCAAATTTATACATTTACAAATTATCAAATTACCCAAACAAATTCAATGTCAGCTACTTTTACTTATAGTAACTCATAAATTATTTGTAAGAAAAATAATTTCTGTTATCTGATTTTAATTAATTTTACTTGTTACTGGTTTAAACGCTGTTTTATGTATTTTAAAATAATCACACTTTTTTATTTTAATAAACCATTATGGAATAAACATTGGTAAATTCGTGATAAAAATTAATTATTCTTTAATTATCGGAGATACATTTCGTAAATGGTAATGTTAACAATACTATATATTGCACCATTATCTCTAGATTACAGTGTTGCTTTTTATCGTTATAAATATAGTTATACAAATACAGATGATTATTTCGTGATATCGTGGGTAAGTACGTGATAATACATTGCTAACTTCGTAAGACTTTACTTTAGCCTATATATTGTTAATTGAATTAATTTTTATTGTAGTACATATAATGTTTTCTCTTACGCTTTTTATCTGAGAACGTACTGTACATACATGTACATGCGAACGTACGTACACAAAATAACTTTCATCTTTATCTGAATCGCAAGCACATCTTCCCCTTCTTCATGTGATATCAAACATATCGCGTGGTGCCGAACAAACATGAACCACATCGAATCTATTGTGCCCCGTGTTTTAAAATTTGCATTAAAATTATGACGGAACATTCTTTACATTCTATTTATTTTGTCGTACTTCGTTTTGTATCTAAAGAATAGTAGAGAAACACTGAATATGTTCAACTAACATTATCTCTAAGTTACCTATATTATTACTTTACTTCTCTAATCGACAATAATTAATTACTGAATAGATATTGTGTTCGATGTGTCTAGAATTTCACAACAAAAGCTGAGAATGTTATACAAATAGTTAGCTTAAGTAAATTTAAATTTACAATACAATAAAAAACAATACCGCAGTGTTTAAATGTACTAATGTTTATCGTATAGTTTTCCCTCTGAATTTCTTATAATAATTTGTATTATAATATGAATCTGTATTATATACTCCTTTATATGAAAATTAGACTCTTTTGTACAGGTAAAACAATAGAAATAATACGATGTATTGATTTAAGTGTTAATCATTTAATGAAAAATTTATTTTAAATAGCGTTATACGCAATATCTTCCTATTCATAGTAATATTTGGTTGTTTTATTTAGGACTTTCTTCTTCTTCAAGAAAAAGAAAATAATTCAGTCGAAATTGCAAATGAAAAGACGAAACTAAATGAATGTGGAATATGGATGAAAAATGTTACGGCTACATGGAATAATGTGAGTAAATTTTTCTATGAATTTTTAATCTTGCATGATACTAATATACCCGTTTATTTTACAATTACATAACTTATATTACTTACATTGAAATCATTATGCGACTTTTATTATACCGCCTCAGTTTAAATTATAGAAGTCGCGTAACTATATCTATATAAAATCGTTTGCTTATCCTTAAGCAGTACTTGCTGAATTGTACTGTATAGATGGGTCGTTAAATACTTTAAACCTAATACTAGCCAACACTTTCCTACTCATGCAACACTAACTGATAATATCAATAATTTTATAAGAAAGTATGGTAAAAATCTCTTAAGTGTATAATGGAAATCAAAAAGAGGAGATTTTTTTCGCAATTAGACACTTCATTTTGTTTAAAATCTTAATTTTAAATCACCAAATGGCCAATTGGATACACTACTTCAAAACTGGTAGCCGGTTTCGTAATTCACTCCTCACACAAGATCTTTTAAAGTTCTCGTATATACGTATATACGTATATAACACGTAAATAGGGGTCAATTTCTCTTAAAAATTCTTTATGATTTTTGTTTTGTATTTACTCATATATTTTCATACTTTCATTTCAAGTTTAAAATATAAAAGCGAAAATATTATTATATTTTTAGGATACGATTGCTTTTTTTACAGTCAAAATCATAAATTTTATTTTCAGTGTATATGACATGAAGTATTTATTGATATTAACAAACCTCATATAGTATGCTTTAAAGCATATAATATTGACATTTTCATTAAAAAGTTATAATTTATTAGAAATTTATGGTTTAATTTTATGTATCTTAATTATATATTTCTGTTAGAAAATTGGATTAACATTAAATGGGATTAAGTTATGTGTACAACCTGGAGAATTGTTAGCTGTTATTGGTTCAGTTGGATCAGGAAAGGTAATAATTTCACTTTTCAATCTTCGTATATACATGATATATATAGTCTATAATGTAGAAACTTTTATTGTACGTGTGCATTTTTCTCCCAAAAATCTCATTACTTTACTCTATGTAATTATACATAGTTATAATACAACTCAGTAAGATAGAAGTCGACCACATGATTTATTTACAAAAATTTTGCAAAAAATTATACGTAAATTATAATCACAGTAAAATATTTTAAATAACGAAACCAGTACGACAATGATATTTTTGCCTATGTATGCCTGCAATATTTGGTCAATGACAGTCAAAGACACGGCATATTACCATTTTGTGACATCACTGTTTAAAGTAGGGTCGGCCAACGCGTAGACTGCGGTCGACCGCAAAAGTTTTGAAAGTAGCCCGCGAAGCTAAAGTTGAACAATTTGCTTTCACTTAAATTAATGTTTAAAAATCTTAATTCGATAAATTATTCTTACAATAATAGACTGTCTGTGCAACGTACCCATACTGTTTGTATTTATCCCGATGAACAATGCAAATGAATGTTAATGCACGCGCATATAAAAATCCTAAAATTGTTTGCCCATATTCATAGTCGCCCGCAGACTATATTTTACCGAAAAAGTAGCCCCTAAGGGATAAAAGTTTGGCAACACCTGGTTTAATTAAGGAATAATATCCTAACAAAGTTTTGACATGATATTCAACAGCTATGTAATTTTCCGGAATTTGTATTAACATTTTTCAGACAATACTATTTTTAAACTGATTCATATTTATTGCCTATTGTCTCAATAATTTTTTCTTTAAAATTCTGCAAATTTTCTCTGTAGAGGAATGACCTGAGCATCATGCAGGCCGTGGTAAATTTTTATTTAGGCCTATTTCTAGCGAAGTGACTCGCTGATTACCTTAATTAAACTTGTACAGTTCAATGTTATCTTGATAGAATGAGAAGAAACGATTCCGCAACTGCACTCTTCTGAAAGTAAGCAAGTTAGTTTCCAAAACGTGGAATATATACGCCTAGGCTTTCATCAATCCATTATAGAAATATAGTCTACTTATACAACGAGCAGAAATACACGCAAATATCATTAATAATGCTTGCATCTGGTCTTGATGCCAGCAACACTACCACTGCATTTTCTGGCGTATAAGACGACTTTTTAACATAGGAAAATCCTCTCAAAAGTCGGGGATCGTCTTATTATACGCCTGAAAGTACGGTAGTTGTTTGACCTGTACTTATAAAAATCACTTTTAATCAATATTTTCAAAACAAATTTGGAGAGAGGATTTGTCAGATAATAGAACAGTTTTTAATTCAGCTGTTATTCAGAGGTGATGCTATCTTGATTACCCAAACTGACGACAATTTTCCAACTCTGAGAGTGATATCTACTGTATTTCTGAAATTCAGCAGATATTGCTAGATAATGCGGTATTTTCGAAATTCCTACTTTTTACTGAAACAATACAGTGATACAGTGAACAAATACTGCTAGATGAAGAGACGTAGTTCTATTAGATTCTTGTCCTAGATGAAATATATCACATGACTTTACTAATACAGTATAACTATATATTTAAAGAAAGTTTATTTTATTAAATAATATAGTTTACGATTGATGTTTAAGATCATTATTACTAAGTATTGTTTTCCTCTTTACTAATCTAAAGTTTTTTCTTTGTCAGACATCTTTATTGATGTCAATACTAGGAGAGATTCCTATTATTTCTGGAACAGTATCAGTGAAAGGAAAAATATCTTATTCTTCACAAGAAGCATGGATATTTAACGGAACAATTAGAGAAAATATTATATTTGGAGAAGAATATCAGGAAGAAAAATATAGAAAAGTTTTACACATAACGACCCTTGAGAAGGTAAAAACTTTATATACTTTACAATAAAAATTAGATTTTGAAGCAAGAATTTGTTGTAAATATCTGTTATTTTTTACGGTTATAAAAAACAAGGTCATTATTAGGATACAATTTGAAAAAAATTGGAGACCTGTAAATTCCCACTGTTGTCTGTCAGTCTGACCATTGTTCTATAACTTCAAAATGTACTTAGAGTTATAAAAGTCAAGACCATGTATAGAAGGCCTATATGCTGGAGGCTCCGATTCACTATAACCCAACGTCTAAGGTAAATCGAAATAAACGTTATTTCAATTAAAAATATTTTGTTGAAAGGAGTTTCATTGATGTCCAGCACAATTCTATCTCTAACAAAAAAGTATGGTGTATGGGGGCAAACAACTATTAATTTGGTGGTAGGCATGTATTTTAAACTAAATTAAAAATATGATTAAAAATTTCAGTCCAGGGTTGTGATTTTTATATAATGCTGTATATAATCTAATTTCAGTGTAGAAAAACATGTAAAACGAAAATTTGTATCAAATCGGTTTGTACAATCCTTCATTAGCAATCAAAAAATACTTGTAATGATCTGTTTACTTTGATTTTATTTCATTATCGCTTATCAGCACAAAGTAATTGTTATCCACTTCGTTCCGAAAGTAAACTCATAACTGAAAGGCAACAGGACAAGTCATTCATTGTGTTTACTTGTATTTATTCTCAGTAATCTGGCAGCTAGGAAATCTGGCACAATATATGGAAGAAATGGCCAGCTTAACAATAGTCTGCTGTATATCATGAGACATCCTCCCAACAACGATGTTGATAATTTGAATAGTTTAATTAGCGAAGCTTTTTCGAAAAATCCCTAGCTAAAAGTGTCAGGTCATATTCAATAGAAGGTTTCCGAGAAGGTCGGTTGTCTCATTGATAGTAAAGTCAACAAAATATTGGACACTGCATAAAACACTATTCTGACTAGATTACCTACCTCCATCTAGGTTGGTGTTGCTGCAAGGGCTAACACAACAAATACCAAAATTATCCAGAAAACAGTCCAAAATCACACACAGTCCAGTACTGGAAAACACGCGATTTTCGTTTTTCCAAAAGAAAACATTAATATCACTCAGGATGAAATAAGACTAACACTCAGTACAAGCATAAAAGTTAGTCAGTTAGGAATCTCAGTTAAAGCACTCAAGAATATTAGGAATAATGGAGTTTGCATTCAATTAATTAATTAATTAATTAATTTNCCACAGATGTCTTATTTCCTGGGCGAGTTCTGTGTACTTGCTAATTTTTTCAGTGCATGTGTTTTGTACATTGTGAGTGTTTGGAATGGCTATGTCTATAATGTATATGATTTTATTGTGTTTGTCAATGAGTGTGATGTCTGGTCTGTTGTGGTAAATTGTTTTATCTGAGATTATGGCTCTGTCGTAGTACATTTTCTGCGTGTTGTTTTCCAATACTGTCTGTGGAATATACTTGTAGTATGGTTCGTGAATGTCTACCAATTTGTGTTTCTATGCAAGCTCTTGGTGTATTATATTTGCTACTTGATTTTGTTTATGTAAATAATCTGTCTGTGCCAAGAGCTTGCACCCAGAAGTGATGTGTTGTATAGTTTCTGGCATAATGTGACATTTTCTGCATGTGTCATTTGTGAGTGTTGTATCTTTGAGTATGTGTTTTCTGTAGTTTTTAGTATTTATGATCTGACCCTGTATGGCAATCATGAATTCTTCCGTCTCCCCAAAAAGACCTCCTCGGTCTAACCAGCTGTTTGACGCAGTTTTGTCAACAAAATCCTGGGCCAGGTCAAAAGGATGCCTGCCATGGAGTGCCTTTCGAGCCCACGATTGCTTAATGGTGTCTATGCTTTTTATATGTTGTGTCATGTCTGTATGATATGAGTGTAAGTTTAATGGTGCGTTATTTAAATCTGTTAGTGTTATTGCTTTATTTATTATTATTATTATCATTATCATTATCAACCCTTCTTGTTGTTATTTTTTGTTTGGGCAACACGGGCTCATCTGCTAGATACTTTGTAAATATTTATTGTCATATTTGTGGCAGTTGTATAATTTTAAAACAGAAGATACACAGTATATTAAATTTAAGTAAAAATAGTAAAAGTTATAATCGATTGTTAACTAAAAATTAAAAAAACAGATAATTCAAATGAAAGCCATTATAATTTCGATTTTATTGACTTTAAAAAATACTGTGCTTTTGAATTGTTTTTACTTAGCCATAATTAACAGTATTATAGTATACAATCGACTGTTGTCTAATATATTTTTAAAAAATATTTTGTACAGGGACAATGTTGTATCGACATCTGCTTACATGAGAAATACTGTTTATAAAATTTTCACTTTTTAGTTTATTACTCTTGCTCTAAAAGAAAAATAATCATGTATGTGTTCATTTCAAGTGAATGTATAGACCTTTTATTCGCGTTATATGTATTTTATCAATTTTCGAAGGGAGACATTTACACATGAATAAAAATGGAAGTTTATATTTCTTTGATTTCTGGATTCTACTAGAGAATGTAGCTTACTTTACACTGGAAACTGTTAAGTATCTCTTTTGAACGGCTGTTTTATTAAGTAATAATATGTTAAAATATATTCACAAAATAATAACATTCTGTAGATTTAATTGAAAGTACAATGCATGTACTGTAAATGTAGTTTTGCTTGCCTTTAAGATGCTCTTGCTTTTTTGTGAGGTTATGTATCAATATATTCAGCATTTAGCTGTTGTCTTTCTGATAATTACTTTTTCTTGCATTAAGCAATTAATTTATTTTCTTCCCTCAAATTTATACATTTACAAATTATCAAATTACCCAAACAAATTCAATGTCAGCTACTTTTACTTATAGTAACTCATAAATTATTTGTAAGAAAAATAATTTCTGTTATCTGATTTTAATTAATTTTACTTGTTACTGGTTTAAACGCTGTTTTATGTATTTTAAAATAATCACACTTTTTTATTTTAATAAACCATTATGGAATAAACATTGGTAAATTCGTGATAAAAATTAATTATTCTTTAATTATCGGAGATACATTTCGTAAATGGTAATGTTAACAATACTATATATTGCACCATTATCTCTAGATTACAGTGTTGCTTTTTATCGTTATAAATATAGTTATACAAATACAGATGATTATTTCGTGATATCGTGGGTAAGTACGTGATAATACATTGCTAACTTCGTAAGACTTTACTTTAGCCTATATATTGTTAATTGAATTAATTTTTATTGTAGTACATATAATGTTTTCTCTTACGCTTTTTATCTGAGAACGTACTGTACATACATGTACATGCGAACGTACGTACACAAAATAACTTTCATCTTTATCTGAATCGCAAGCACATCTTCCCCTTCTTCATGTGATATCAAACATATCGCGTGGTGCCGAACAAACATGAACCACATCGAATCTATTGTGCCCCGTGTTTTAAAATTTGCATTAAAATTATGACGGAACATTCTTTACATTCTATTTATTTTGTCGTACTTCGTTTTGTATCTAAAGAATAGTAGAGAAACACTGAATATGTTCAACTAACATTATCTCTAAGTTACCTATATTATTACTTTACTTCTCTAATCGACAATAATTAATTACTGAATAGATATTGTGTTCGATGTGTCTAGAATTTCACAACAAAAGCTGAGAATGTTATACAAATAGTTAGCTTAAGTAAATTTAAATTTACAATACAATAAAAAACAATACCGCAGTGTTTAAATGTACTAATGTTTATCGTATAGTTTTCCCTCTGAATTTCTTATAATAATTTGTATTATAATATGAATCTGTATTATATACTCCTTTATATGAAAATTAGACTCTTTTGTACAGGTAAAACAATAGAAATAATACGATGTATTGATTTAAGTGTTAATCATTTAATGAAAAATTTATTTTAAATAGCGTTATACGCAATATCTTCCTATTCATAGTAATATTTGGTTGTTTTATTTAGGACTTTCTTCTTCTTCAAGAAAAAGAAAATAATTCAGGCGAAATTGCAAATGAAAAGACGAAACTAAATGAATGTGGAATATGGATGAAAAATGTTACGGCTACATGGAATAATGTGAGTAAATTTTTCTATGAATTTTTAATCTTGCATGATACTAATATACCCGTTTATTTTACAATTACATAACTTATATTACTTACATTGAAATCATTATGCGACTTTTATTATACCGCCTCAGTTTAAATTATAGAAGTCGCGTAACTATATCTATATAAAATCGTTTGCTTATCCTTAAGCAGTACTTGCTGAATTGTACTGTATAGATGGGTCGTTAAATACTTTAAACCTAATACTAGCCAACACTTTCCTACTCATGCAACACTAACTGATAATATCAATAATTTTATAAGAAAGTATGGTAAAAATCTCTTAAGTGTATAATGGAAATCAAAAAGAGGAGATTTTTTTCGCAATTAGACACTTCATTTTGTTTAAAATCTTAATTTTAAATCACCAAATGGCCAATTGGATACACTACTTCAAAACTGGTAGCCGGTTTCGTAATTCACTCCTCACACAAGATCTTTTAAAGTTCTCGTATATACGTATATACGTATATAACACGTAAATAGGGGTCAATTTCTCTTAAAAATTCTTTATGATTTTTGTTTTGTATTTACTCATATATTTTCATACTTTCATTTCAAGTTTAAAATATAAAAGCGAAAATATTATTATATTTTTAGGATACGATTGCTTTTTTTACAGTCAAAATCATAAATTTTATTTTCAGTGTATATGACATGAAGTATTTATTGATATTAACAAACCTCATATAGTATGCTTTAAAGCATATAATATTGACATTTTCATTAAAAAGTTATAATTTATTAGAAATTTATGGTTTAATTTTATGTATCTTAATTATATATTTCTGTTAGAAAATTGGATTAACATTAAATGGGATTAAGTTATGTGTACAACCTGGAGAATTGTTAGCTGTTATTGGTTCAGTTGGATCAGGAAAGGTAATAATTTCACTTTTCAATCTTCGTATATACATGATATATATAGTCTATAATGTAGAAACTTTTATTGTACGTGTGCATTTTTCTCCCAAAAATCTCATTACTTTACTCTATGTAATTATACATAGTTATAATACAACTCAGTAAGATAGAAGTCGACCACATGATTTATTTACAAAAATTTTGCAAAAAATTATACGTAAATTATAATCACAGTAAAATATTTTAAATAACGAAACCAGTACGACAATGATATTTTTGCCTATGTATGCCTGCAATATTTGGTCAATGACAGTCAAAGACACGGCATATTACCATTTTGTGACATCACTGTTTAAAGTAGGGTCGGCCAACGCGTAGACTGCGGTCGACCGCAAAAGTTTTGAAAGTAGCCCGCGAAGCTAAAGTTGAACAATTTGCTTTCACTTAAATTAATGTTTAAAAATCTTAATTCGATAAATTATTCTTACAATAATAGACTGTCTGTGCAACGTACCCATACTGTTTGTATTTATCCCGATGAACAATGCAAATGAATGTTAATGCACGCGCATATAAAAATCCTAAAATTGTTTGCCCATATTCATAGTCGCCCGCAGACTATATTTTACCGAAAAAGTAGCCCCTAAGGGATAAAAGTTTGGCAACACCTGGTTTAATTAAGGAATAATATCCTAACAAAGTTTTGACATGATATTCAACAGCTATGTAATTTTCCGGAATTTGTATTAACATTTTTCAGACAATACTATTTTTAAACTGATTCATATTTATTGCCTATTGTCTCAATAATTTTTTCTTTAAAATTCTGCAAATTTTCTCTGTAGAGGAATGACCTGAGCATCATGCAGGCCGTGGTAAATTTTTATTTAGGCCTATTTCTAGCGAAGTGACTCGCTGATTACCTTAATTAAACTTGTACAGTTCAATGTTATCTTGATAGAATGAGAAGAAACGATTCCGCAACTGCACTCTTCTGAAAGTAAGCAAGTTAGTTTCCAAAACGTGGAATATATACGCCTAGGCTTTCATCAATCCATTATAGAAATATAGTCTACTTATACAACGAGCAGAAATACACGCAAATATCATTAATAATGCTTGCATCTGGTCTTGATGCCAGCAACACTACCACTGCATTTTCTGGCGTATAAGACGACTTTTTAACATAGGAAAATCCTCTCAAAAGTCGGGGATCGTCTTATTATACGCCTGAAAGTACGGTAGTTGTTTGACCTGTACTTATAAAAATCACTTTTAATCAATATTTTCAAAACAAATTTGGAGAGAGGATTTGTCAGATAATAGAACAGTTTTTAATTCAGCTGTTATTCAGAGGTGATGCTATCTTGATTACCCAAACTGACGACAATTTTCCAACTCTGAGAGTGATATCTACTGTATTTCTGAAATTCAGCAGATATTGCTAGATAATGCGGTATTTTCGAAATTCCTACTTTTTACTGAAACAATACAGTGATACAGTGAACAAATACTGCTAGATGAAGAGACGTAGTTCTATTAGATTCTTGTCCTAGATGAAATATATCACATGACTTTACTAATACAGTATAACTATATATTTAAAGAAAGTTTATTTTATTAAATAATATAGTTTACGATTGATGTTTAAGATCATTATTACTAAGTATTGTTTTCCTCTTTACTAATCTAAAGTTTTTTCTTTGTCAGACATCTTTATTGATGTCAATACTAGGAGAGATTCCTATTATTTCTGGAACAGTATCAGTGAAAGGAAAAATATCTTATTCTTCACAAGAAGCATGGATATTTAACGGAACAATTAGAGAAAATATTATATTTGGAGAAGAATATCAGGAAGAAAAATATAGAAAAGTTTTACACATAACGACCCTTGAGAAGGTAAAAACTTTATATACTTTACAATAAAAATTAGATTTTGAAGCAAGAATTTGTTGTAAATATCTGTTATTTTTTACGGTTATAAAAAACAAGGTCATTATTAGGATACAATTTGAAAAAAATTGGAGACCTGTAAATTCCCACTGTTGTCTGTCAGTCTGACCATTGTTCTATAACTTCAAAATGTACTTAGAGTTATAAAAGTCAAGACCATGTATAGAAGGCCTATATGCTGGAGGCTCCGATTCACTATAACCCAACGTCTAAGGTAAATCGAAATAAACGTTATTTCAATTAAAAATATTTTGTTGAAAGGAGTTTCATTGATGTCCAGCACAATTCTATCTCTAACAAAAAAGTATGGTGTATGGGGGCAAACAACTATTAATTTGGTGGTAGGCATGTATTTTAAACTAAATTAAAAATATGATTAAAAATTTCAGTCCAGGGTTGTGATTTTTATATAATGCTGTATATAATCTAATTTCAGTGTAGAAAAACATGTAAAACGAAAATTTGTATCAAATCGGTTTGTACAATCCTTCATTAGCAATCAAAAAATACTTGTAATGATCTGTTTACTTTGATTTTATTTCATTATCGCTTATCAGCACAAAGTAATTGTTATCCACTTCGTTCCGAAAGTAAACTCATAACTGAAAGGCAACAGGACAAGTCATTCATTGTGTTTACTTGTATTTATTCTCAGTAATCTGGCAGCTAGGAAATCTGGCACAATATATGGAAGAAATGGCCAGCTTAACAATAGTCTGCTGTATATCATGAGACATCCTCCCAACAACGATGTTGATAATTTGAATAGTTTAATTAGCGAAGCTTTTTCGAAAAATCCCTAGCTAAAAGTGTCAGGTCATATTCAATAGAAGGTTTCCGAGAAGGTCGGTTGTCTCATTGATAGTAAAGTCAACAAAATATTGGACACTGCATAAAACACTATTCTGACTAGATTACCTACCTCCATCTAGGTTGGTGTTGCTGCAAGGGCTAACACAACAAATACCAAAATTATCCAGAAAACAGTCCAAAATCACACACAGTCCAGTACTGGAAAACACGCGATTTTCGTTTTTCCAAAAGAAAACATTAATATCACTCAGGATGAAATAAGACTAACACTCAGTACAAGCATAAAAGTTAGTCAGTTAGGAATCTCAGTTAAAGCACTCAAGAATATTAGGAATAATGGAGTTTGCATTCAATTAATTAATTAATTAATTAATTTAATTAAATACAAAGGGTGACAGCGACAAAATGGTGGCTGCCATAAACTTACTATAAACATTAACTAACAGGTTAGAAATCAAATACTCGGCAACCAAACAACCTAAGTTTATTCTATTTAACGGAACAATTAGAGAAAATATTATATTTGGAGAAGAATATCAGGAAGAAAAATATAGAAAAGTTTTACACATAACGACCCTTGAGAAGGTAAAAACTTTATATACTTTACAATAAAAATTAGATTTTGAAGCAAGAATTTGTTGTAAATATCTGTTATTTTTTACGGTTATTTTTTATGGCAATACTATCACCAGTGTCTTCTTAGAGGAACTCTCCATTCAGAGCATTGAAATAAACACTACACTCACACTCCAGGAATTTCAATATTCTTGCTGTGTTCTAACCAAAATAAACCGCAACATGACAGACACTTCTAGATTACACGTTGTCGTTCAGGTAACTGCTAGTATCTAGAACACGTTAATTTAACAGCAGTATGTTAGTGTGCAATGGGTGTCGATAGCGATAGATAACTACATTCCTCCCACACGCTGCTACAAATGCTGTGTTATGGCCATCTAGCTAGAAAATGTACAGAAAAACAACACAGTAGTTACTGCATGGGCAACCACAGCTACAAGGTTTCCTGCATCCAAAGTCAGGAACAGTGCTGCGTCAATTGTGGGAAGGCCAATAATAGTCTACCAGAAGGGAACCAACATAAGACCGCGTATAATGCATTCTCTCAACAGTGCCCCATAACCAAATGTATGAAAACACAAGCTGCCAGTAAGGTCAACTATGAATAATACACCCATACACAATATGAACACAGGCAACTATAAACTTATACGGATTAATGCAAAGTTGCCTGTTTCCTCCTCATTCACACTTCCAATGTATACAATCAATACAGACATCATCATGACCCCACATTATTAACAACATGATAGTCAGGTTCAATGACTGAAAAGTGTATCCAGCTCAGGACAATGGCTATTGCATCAAGGCTGGTATTATCATCAGGAACAAAAACATTATCTTGTCTCCCAACACATCACAGAATACACTACCACCGTCTGTGTCACAGACAATAACACTCACCTTTACATATGTTCTGTCTACATTCCAGACAACACTAACATCGAGACGGCCATAAAAGACATTCATCATCTCTTGAACTAATACAAAGATAAACCTATCCTAACAGAATGATACTTCAATGACAAATCTGCGGCTTGGCATAGTCCAAAAGATGACCCTAGGGGTAACATAGTTAACGAAACTATGGGCCAACACAACCTTTCTCACTTGAACACCAGCACCTTTCCGACCTACTCCTGTACCACAGGGGAAAGTTTGATCAACCTAACATTAGGAAATAGTCACATCACCCCTAGTGTTGACCACTGTTATACTACTGACATAGATTCTGCCAGTGACCATAGTTATATCTTCACCTAACTGAATACTACTAGTAATACTATTAATCATAGTTTTCACTATACTCGCACTAACTGATAATTATTTTGCGACACCTTCAATAACATTTGAGCTGGTACCCCTCACCACAGTCACTATACTCAGGACACCTTAAACCATATTGTCACAGGCTTACAAATACAATCACTAACTCTTACGTTATTGCCTCCGAGATCAAACATTGTAAACAGGAAAACGTTTATTAGTTGACCACTCACTGAGTAAAAAAATAATAAAAAATTAGTTAGGAGATTAAGGAGGCAATTTAGAAATGAACAGGACCCGAACATTAAAGTCACACTTAGAGACCAATACAGGCACGAACACAGCATTTACAAAACCCTTAAAAATAAAAGCTTTGGCTTCTCTAAAAACAAAAGTACAGTAGATGCCATCAATCAGGTCATTAACTACATCCACCAAACTAAACAAACAATCAGCATACCGCAATTATCACTATTGCCTTTAGAGTTGCATTCGATCATGCCTGGTGGCCTTTTATTCTGCACATATTACATGCTCATCACTGCCCTCAAAATGTTTACGAACTTCTTCAGTCCTATCTTAGCAACAAGAGTGCAGGTGTTTATATGACACAAAATAACAAAGTCATACTCATCACTCGAAGCTGTCCTCTAGGATCCAGGTCTGGTCCTGCTAGAGATGGGTATACAGATATAGTAAGATTTTTAATAGAAAAAAAGGCTAATTTTAATGCAGTAGATTTCTCTGGAACATAGCCTATAACTCTATTCTGCACTTAAAACGACACCTTGCCTCCTGGCTGCTGCATACAGGGCTATGCAGTCAACACAATTATCCTAGCTTCACACAGGAACAGTGAATGCTTACAGGACATATGCAACGACATTCTTAATAACATTCACCAGTGGAATATTAAACATAGGCAACCCATTAACACAGACAAATGCGATAGCATGATAGTTGATAGAAACTCGCCACTCGTCAGGAAGCTTGCCCATCGAATAGGTGCTCAGAATAAAGCAAACAACGGAAATTAAAATTTTAGGTGTTATTTTTGACGAGCAACTTAACTTCACACTCACATAAATACATCACAGACAAAGCTAAAAAACGGCCAACGCCCTCACTGGTATTACTAGGAACAGATGGGACCTTGGCCCGAACGTTACTAAGCTTATTTACAAGAGTGCAATTCAGCCAGCACTCCTCTATGCCATACGAGTCTGGAGCCATGAGGCCGTCAAAGTCCGTAACCGTAAAAAACTGTTATCTGTTTAAAGAATTGCAGCTTTCCACATTTTTAAGGCTTATAGGACCGCACCTACTGGTGCCCTTTTGGTAATGTTAGGATTGACCCCTATCGACTTAGAATTAAATGCATTATTTGGCAGAAAAATGTCATTACCTTACCCTGGCCAGATTATAGCGACTCAGATGTCAACAAAATGATTACAGTAGGTAAGATTCTCCCCCCCCCAGTTTGATCTTGATTGATGATCCTTAGACATTCTCAGACACTTAGACAACAACATTAAAATAGATTTCCAATGGGTCCCAGGTCATGCAGGGTTCTTGGCAACGAGACCACTGACCATCTTGCCAAACAAGTGCAATGTCTTCAGTCACTAATACTTTCAGTTACATTCCTGTCTTGTACATCAACAGTCACATCAAAAAACAAATCTTCATTCTCTGGCAATACAGCTGGGACTGTGACACCACTGGTAGGCTCACCTACACTTTCATCCCCAAGGTTGACACTACTGTAATTCTTTGCCTCTTTTTCTTTAGTTACACCCTCACTCAGCTACTTATAGGACACGGCAACTTTAAGCAATACTTGCATAGATTTAACCTTGGGGACAATCCACAATGAGATTGTGGTATTCAGGAGGACTAAAAACCACTTTACTTAGTTTTTCTCTACAATAAGTACAATCGCATTAGGGATAGTTTAATGAGAGCTGCTGTTCTTGAAGGATACAACTGGCCTTGCAACGCGTACTCTCTCATTCACACACATACAATGTTCTATCACCTACTGTCATTTATATCCCTTAATGGGGCTCTTGAGAACACTCACTCCAGGGGACCAGATGGTAATTAGCTTTTCCATACTTGGATTCAACTGTCAGTATATAGCTGTCTTTTAACTTGTATTTTAATTCTTATTTTCTCCCTTCTTTCTCAGTCTAAATTCCGTTAGTCCCAGTTGCAAGTTAGATTAAAGACTCTTAGCTTGGTTTCTGGTTAGGTTATGATAGGTTAGGTTAAAGTACATTAGGGTTTGTTTGCTTTAGTCGTCTGGTTAGTTCATTCCAGGTTATGGTAGGTTAGTTTAGTTGGTGAGTAAAGTAATGTTTAAAATAAATTTAAAAATAATAAATCTATATATATAGATTTATTATTTTTTTAATATAGGGACAAACACGTCCATTTATATATATATACGGGTGTGGGAGATATGAGGGATGAAAGTAGTTGATTTCGAAAATGTTTAACAATGAAAGCATTAACAATAAAAGTGTTAAGAATGGAAGTGTTAAGAGAAAATGGTGTGCAAAATTTACAGATGTGGTTTTTTTGTATTTTTAAGGGGAATCGAACATGTTTATAGACCCATGTAAACATGTTCTTAGTCTGGAAACAGGGGACCTAATTCTTGCATTCTGTGAAAACGGGTAAGATTGGCTATAATGTAATTAATTATATAAATCTTCGCTATCGTTACTTTTTCCCGAGCAACGCCAGGCTTTTATATATATAACTATATTTCATATAAATGTACGAACAAATAAAAACCCAGCGAAGCGTGTACTTGCAGCTAATAAATAAATAAAAATAAAAAAATAAATTTTTTTTACTATTGAACACAAGACTGTGTTATTATTAAAACACTTGGCGTTTATCCACTTTATTCAGTTGATACGGGCACTTTTACACGTTTCGGGCGTATAGCCCCTCATCAGTCAACATTTAAAAAATTCAATGACACTCGTACAGCACAAGTTATTATTTACTGCTGTTAGGATAAGTTGATAACAATGATAACATAAACTGTTAAGTAGCCGTGACACATCCTTTATCTTCTTACTAAAGTTGATAAATATATAGGCAGAATCCTTTCTAATGTTTAATGAATATATTTGTTGGTTTCTCACAACATTTCATTTGCGCATAAAAAAATAAATAGGAAAAATAAAAATTTTTGGTATCTTGCTCGTTTGTCTCTGTCATTCCATTTGTCTCATGTAGTTTGTCATTGTGTTCGTTTTTTTTCTAGCTGTCTGTCTAGCTGTTAAATAGTATAAAGATTCGTGATCGCGTTCGGTTATATTAGTATTAAGTAGATACAAGTCTTCCTACTAACAGCCACTTGGCCCTAACTTGGCCACTTGGCCCTGCACGCCAATAAAAAACCATAGAGGGTATTGTAGCCATATGTACACCGTTCAGCGGAATCCTACCTTTTTCTACTGTCTATATTTTCTTTCTCCTTCTTCCACTCCTCTTTCCCTTACCCTCTTTTTGATGGCTAAACATCCGTGTATGGCCGAAGTAATTCTTGTATGTATGTATATCATGATATTTGATGATTAATGATTGTAGAATTATCTTTAAATTTTTAAAAGTTTTATGGAGACTCTGTACATATAATACAAGCAATTATTTATTAATATTATCACAATGTACAATACTTTAGTATTGTCTTGCCCCCTGTACATCATACTTTTTTCTGTTCATACTGAACTTATGCCGGACATGTATCTAACACCTTTCAGGAGAAAATTATTTAATTGAAATAAAGTTACTTCCAGTTGAAAGCAAAAGTTCCTATATTCTTAAATCAGAGTCTCCTACCCTACACTTTACATGTTCTGTTCATGACTTTCATTTGTCTAATATTGTTCACGAGATTATGGAAAAACAGAGAGACAGACAGGAAGAAAACAAATGACAGAGAGAATTTATAGGTCTATAAATTATTAAAATTGAAGCCCAAATAGTTTATTTTTTTAGTTTTGGAAACTGCATATTTTTGTGAAAATATGGGCAAAGGTAGCATACCTTCTAGTCATCAGGACCGTTAGTCCTGCTCACTCAGTCACTGGATAACTTAAGATAGAAATGTCGTCCGGATCTCTCGATTCGTTTGACTGTCACGACTGATACCAGTTAGGGTAGAAGTTTACGCCCTAACTCGTGATGTCACGTGCTATATTTAAACGGAGGGCTCTATTCTGTCCAGCGGGGAGAAGTCGCGGGTGAGTTCTGATCGTAGCAGGGTGAACATCTGTACACGGGAAAAAAATCAACAAGTTAACAATATCAAAATGATTTAATGAATAAAATAAAACAAGAGATACAAAAATTGAGATATATCCTATAGACTATGATAAATCGAACCTATCTAAAATATATCCTTAAGCGAGAGGGAGAGAGTTTACTATCAGATAAAAATAAGGATAATACCTCTGTTGAGCAGACTTGGAGAACGCCAGATATTCTCTAAATCAGTGTTTTTCAACGGGCTATATCGCCCCCATGTGGGCGTTTTTCTATGTTTAGGAGGCGATTAGTAACAATTTATATTTTTGGGGCGAAAAACAACTTTTTGGGCGATATAGTAAAACATTATTTTAAGAATAATTAGATATTTTATTCGTTATATCGTACAACAATAAAACAAATAACATTATACTAGTCACTAGTCTATTCAGTGCAGTACGAATTTGGCGTTAGCCTTGGCCCTCGTCTGAGAAATAAATAAATAAATTATCGAACAAAATGCCTCTCCACTCTCGCATTTTTACATTTTTATAAATTTCTAATTGCATGTTTTTCGTATTAATTAAAATCGAAGTTAAAGACTTAAAATGTCATTCCATATTCACTTTCATATTCCAGAATGCATTTTGGTGACAATCTTAATTTTGGTGATATGTTAAGTTACTTGGTAGCCAAAAATGTATAAAAAGTTATTTTAATACATGAAAGTATGTTTAGTTAACCGATAAAACTGTAAAAATGAAAATTGAAAGATATAAACATGAAAATAAATTAATACGAGTATTAATTCGTAGTATTTTTTCAATTTTAATTAATACATAAATTATAATCTAAAGTTTACAGAATTGATGACATATTTTTTAAAAATATATTTAAACTATACTCTATTTTTCTCATTGGTAGGATATACGCTTATTTCCTAAAGGAGATTTGACACTAGTTGGGGAAAGAGGGGTGATAATGAGTGGTGGACAGAAAGCAAGAATTAATCTAGCAAGGTAAAATTAGTCCTATCTTGGTAAAATAATTTTACAAGTGCTTTTATTAATGCATTATTTATATATAAATTTATTAGGCTATACAATAAATACAGTAATACAACTGATAAAAAACAATTCTGATGTAAATAATTATTTATGTTCCACATACATATATTTTTCTGATATTTATTTATACTTTTTCAGAGCGCTATATCTAGACGCAGATATATTTTTACTTGATGATCCATTGAGTGCCGTTGATGGTCCAGTTGCCAGACATTTGTTCCAAAAGTAAATGTTTAAATAGAAATTGTCTTTTCTTTAGATATTTCATATTTCCTTTATTTCAGGTGTATAATGGAATACTTGAACGATAAAACTTGCATTTTAGTTACACATCAAACACAGTTTTTGAATTCAACAACTAAGGTTTTAATGCTAAATGGGGTAAGAAAATAAATATACCTATGTCTATTTTAACGCTTTAATTTAATAATATTCTGATTAATTTAGAAAAAAATTATGAAGTTTGTCTAATACAATATTCAATACAACTCATGCATAAGTGCAGTAGCATTCTATGCCAACTGTCACGATTAATATTTGTAACTAGGAAATAAAAGCATTAGCGTTAGTTCACATATTTATATCTAGACACCGACCAAACATGTTTGTTCTTACCTATAGCTGTCTTACACAGAGTTTTGCCTGTCTACAGACAGTTTGTGACTTCGTTTTGTGAGGGTGTCAGCAGTGTTGCTCTTAGTATCCATGTACTCTATTCGTACTGTCCCATCAGTGACCTTCTCTCGAACGAAATTATACTTTACGGCTATATATTTGCTCCTGCCGTTTATCACATCTTTTGGCATGTCTTATCGCTGCTTGATTATCGCATTTAAAGATAGAGGGTTCTTCCAGTAATTAATACCGATCCAACTGTCTAAGGCTACGGTTACTATGGATGCGAATTCTGACGATATTTTGTTCTGATGAGTTCTGACAAATTCGTCCGTAGAAACAAATACCCGTTTTCCAATGTCTAAACGAAATACATTAAACCATCTGTGTGGGATTTTTCTGAACCACCGCTTTTATTTTGGAAATTCAAAAGTATTGCATTTATAAAATTCAACTACAAAAAGAAGTAACTGGATTGACATTATGAAAACAACCTGTAATATTCAGAAAGGACACATCGATTCAAGAAACTTGTTTTTTATAATATATCACACGTTTTCACTCGAAGAAGCATTCATACATAAATAGGACAAAAATTTTTAATACAATTAACTTCAAGGATTTGTTAGAACAATAAGCAATAATGTTAAAGGAACAGTTACACTGTTCATTCATACAAGTTCTTGTGCAGTTCATTTTCTAATGTGTAAGGAATGTTATCTGTCTACTGAAAATTTGTGGGAGATTTTTAAACATGACAAGAACCGATTAATTCAATTTGTTTTAGAGAAATAAAATAATCTTTGTGCAAAACTTTGGATGTTGAAAATGAAATTCTTGAATCTCATCAGTCACGTAAACTGCACTTTATAGTAAAAACCAACTATGGTCCTCTTAGATTTATTCATATGAAGAGATCGTTTGTGCCATTCTGAAACGTATTTTCCTCTAGCTGTCTGAAGCATACCATGGAAAATGTAGAACGATTAGCTGTTTGNAGGTAAATTAAAATCGCGATAAAATTTTTTCGCACGGAAAAAAAATTTTGAAAAAATTTGGAGACAAAAAACATTCCAAAAATTTAATAAAAAATTTTCAAAGTCTTAAGGACTGCATTTTATGTAACGCTATGTAACTTGCCCGAGATATCTCGGGTAATGGGCTTAAGTAAGTAACAATGGAAGTGTTATATAACAATGGAATTGTTAAGAGAAAGCGACGTGCAAGACGCAGATGGAGTTTTTTTCATTTTAGCGAGAAATCGAACATATTGTTAGACCCATCTAAAAATTCTCTAATTAGTCTGGAAACAGGAGGACCCAATTCTTGCATTCTGTGAAAATGGGTAAGGTTGACGATAACGTAATAATCTTAATCTACCCTAGCGTTACTTTTGCCGAGCAAAGCCGGGCCTACCTGCTAGTTGTTATGTAAATATTTTTTTATGTGAATTATTTTTGGCGGTAGTTTTTGGCTAGTTTTGGATTTTGGCTAGTTTTGGCTAGACGGATTTATCCACAAAAGAATTTTGTGGATAAATCCGTCCTTCAACACTGCCACACGATTATTGCCCTTGACAGATATATCTGTCAGTCACTGCTGAGTGGTTAAGTTAGCGTATACTGCCGAATGCTCTTTTAATTGAAGCAAGTACAAAGTCTACCTGTCTGGATCAGTTAGATATACGTATCACCTCTTCTGTTCCTAACAAGAAAAGTGTGAGAATCTGGAGAGATAAGATATTAATTAGCTGTGAAAGTAAAATAGGCGGTAGTGGAAGAAACAAATCATATGAAGTTTCATTCTCATGTGATAGTGGAAGGGAAATGCAAATAACAATTTTTTTCAGTGTATGGACTTTCCAAGGAGAGATCTAATCTCACACGTTAATAAAACTGCTGCTGTGCAACACTGCTTAGGCATACTGTCACATGGGAAAGACTTACCCTCCAATTGGATGGGATTATAAAATAAAAAGTGGTAAAATGTCAGTCTCAAGACACACACTCCTATCAAAGAGTGTTGACCAAAGCTCGTCTGTCAACCCTTTTGTCTCACAACTCTCATCTGTCTCCCTTCTGAAACCCATCGCCATCAAGTATCTCCCAGATATGAGAAGACATCTGTCTACTTGACAAGAGGTATTCTACCCGGATTTATGTAAACTCTCTCTCTCGGTCAATTAGAGTTTAAGTAGCTACAGGTTTGATATAGTCATATTCCTTTGGATGTATTGTTAGATAAAGATGTCGACTTTATCCATATGTAAATACCTATTTAGTTATCATATTAAACTTGTTTTGTTTAAATGGGTTTCGAATTAACTTCTGTCTACAGTCGGTCACTTATGGACTTGCCCACAACCCCTCCCACTCGAACGTCAACCCCTCCTTACCGAACAATCTTAAATAGTAAAAATTGATAATTGCAAATTATTAATATCCTAACTGGTGTCAGGAGCGTGACATTACAAAGATCTTGCGATCTTGTGACAATTTAGTAATTTAACCCCCGTATTTACCAACGCGAGTTAAACTGAGAGTTGACGAACTCGAGTTTAGATGTAACTCGAAGTCAGATTACGAGTTACTCTTCTTTCGTATTCAGGTAAAAGTATAACTCTAGAGTTAATGCTTTAAAACAATCCTGCGTTCGAGATTAAACAAGTCTTCTTTCGTAAGCAGAATCTTGATTGGTTGAAAGCAAACACGTGTAGAAATTGCAGAAAGAGAAATGGAAAATAGTGCACGCCGAACTGAAATGTTCTCGTGGCATTAAAACGTAGAACCAACAACAGTTGTTTCATCGGCGACATCGTATAATTTTTCAATGATGTAGAAACTAAATTGTGACCAATTCGTTCTAGTATGGTCACAATTCAGAACGTCTAAAGTTGACAAACACATGTTATGTTATGTCCAGGTACATTTTAACATCGAGCAAAAGCATAAATTTTAACTGATAAGCAGATGTCTCTCACATTGCAATCACTTACACATCTGAATTTGTCAATTATAATTTATAATAATTATCAAACAAAGCATAATACTTTTACATTTGTTTCTATTTACTTATGAAGTATTTGTAGATTTTTAAAAACAATTTATTTCATATTTAATTTCAGGTTACAAGAGGAAAGAAGCTACACTCAAATTGCAGGACAAACGACGAACTTTACTTCAAAAATACTGACTATTAACAACACCAGAAATGAAAAGTTTTATAAAGCTCGTGAATTGAATATTTACATCTATTTTGGATTGATATCAGCAATAATATTAACGGCAATCTCATCTATCTCATTATTATACAAACTCTTTGTTTCTGCCTCAATAAAACTCCACAACAATATGTTTCGTTGTATTATTCGTACTCCAATTTCTTTCCTGGATAACAATCCGATTGGTAAGTGATATATGTTACACTATCAATAAAACCTTAGGAGAGAAGGCTAAAAATATCTGCTGTTTTTCTAAAATGTACGGCAGATATTGCAGGAAATGTGGAATTTTGGTAGTCTGCATAACTTTGTTTTAGTTGAGTACAAATTAATTAACGAATTTTTTGTCTTTTCATAAAAAATAAAATTATGTTTGGGTTTCGTACTAAATTACTTTGTCTTGAATTAACGTAATGGAAATTCGGTCAGTTAATATCTTGATTTTTAACTAAAGTAAGTACAGAGATATTCCTAATAGAAAAAGATATTACTCTATTATTGAATCATTTATGAGCCAGAAAAATATATGTCAGCAAAATTTATATAAATACATTTCTTTTCGTTAGGATTACACGGTTATAACTTTAATTTTTTTTTAATTTTTGAGGAAAACATTACTGAAGATTGATGCTAAAGTTTACCAAGAAAGTAGTTTTAGAGAATAAACATATATATTAAACATAACAACAGTTATTATTGTTTCAAAATAATAACTGTTGTTTGTAAATATCACTTATATGTTTGTAATCTCCATGGATAATCACATCAAATCTAAGTAAAATACCTCCTGTAATGTAGACCGTTGTCTTCTGGTAGTTGCAGAGACGTTGGCAGACGTTGGCAGACGTTGCATAGACGTTGGTAGTTGCATAGGCGTCAGCATAGACGTTGGTGAGTTTCTCAATGGAGACAGTCTTGGGAGAAGGGAAAGATGAGCTTTGGTCCACTAGCTCTAAGGTTGAAGTCCACCAACTTGTAGGGAAGTGTCTGCCCTGAGACATGTGTCAGCGTATTATATCCTTAAGTTATCCCAATCGGAGGTTAAGATTATTATTATATGACAGGATACACTGATGAGTCAGGCTACCAGATGTTTAACAAAAATTGCGATAACATCTCTTGCAAAGGACTGTTTATTTCTTTTTTTTTTCAGAAAAGTGACAAAATGTGTTGTTTTTAACACAAAAATAATATTTTGATTTTTGAATTATTAAATAAAAGTATTTTCTTTCTCAAGAATCTCACACTGTAGTTTACAGAAGCTCAAATACAAAAACATCTTAAACACTCACATTTTGTAGACAAACAAACTATGACAAAAATATACAGAAATCATTTTTACCCTTAGCAGAAGTTAGTCATATTGGAAGCAACGAATAAGGCACTGTATATTTTTTCAAAAGAATTAAAATTAGCATCGAAAAACGGGCTGGGTAAATATAATTCTTTATGATATTGGATCAGAAGAGCATCTACTTACTTGGCTGGCATATGGAATACAGTGTGGTACATCACAAAAGTAAGAAGTTTGGGATGTGATATCCCTACTTTTTTATATGTCAGTGAAAAAACCTGAATTTATATAATTTTCTCTTATTAATGTCGTATGCATGCTAACAACGTTGATGTAATGTACACACACCTGTGATTAAGCATCATTGAGTGATCTATGTACAAAGATAGATTACTATCTGTGAAAACACAAATAATGTTAATTTACATATACACACACAAACACACACACACACACACACACACACACACACACACACACACACATATATATATATATATATATACGATTACAGAAGTAACAATAAATATAAGTTTACAAAAGTATTATGTCTGTTATCTCTATTCATTTTTGAAGAGGTTCTTTTTTATATATTTCGTACGTTTGACAAGATAGATACTGATTTAGTGTATAAATACTCGGCTTGAGTTATTAGGAGTTTATCCATAAAATTCCTGGTATGTTTGCCCAATCATTGTCATGCACCAACAGCTGTAGCATCAATCTGAAACAATATCAGCCATTTGGCTTTTACTGACGGTGCTAATAAATTGAAAGCTGTTTCGTTCATAATAATAATTAATTAAATAATTTTAATTTATATCTGAAAACTTTATATTTTCCAGGTAAAATCCTGAATCGATTTTCAAGAGATACAAGTGGAATGGACGACATGTTACCACTTGTTTATCACGAAACTATCAGAGTAAGTTAAGATAAATAACAGATATTTTCAACTACTAAAACTCAGTTTGTAAATATGAACATACATGATTATACTGTAAATAAAGTAATATACAGGGAAGCGCAAAAATAAGTATACAGTTGAGAATAAGAGAAACACAAACATTTTGATATTCATTATAAATGATATTTTTATCTTTTCTTAGTTCGTATTCTTTATTTCTTATTTAATTTGTACATAAAAACAAATGTTTTTGCTTCCTGTTTTCTCCCTGTATGTTTTTTCCATAATAACAACCTTAATAATAATAATAATCCCCTGCATTTGTACAAACTAGATGATATAATTAAAATTGATTACAGTGAAGCAAAATTAGTATTCCTTTTGGAAAAATATTAGAATTTAATACAAAAGTTTGTAAATTTACAAAAAGAAAATTTGTAATTCTTCCATTAAAAATTGTATGCAAATAGCATCATAAACATCTCATCATCTTTTGTAATCAGAAATAAACTACAATAAATTATCAAAAATTGGCATATTCCTTTGTAGATTTTTTTAATATTTTTATAGAATACCATATGTTACACATTTTATTTTATTATATTAATAAACTAGCAAAAATGCCCAGCATCTCCTGGCACTAGGAGAGACATTTAGTTGTTATCGTTATACAGTAGCGTAATTTTTTGCATGGTGACTGATAGTAACAATCTAAAATTTGACGAAAATCAGTCAAAGACTGACAATTTAATGGGAATGAAATCAACAGGAAGAGTGAGAGTCGAAGTTTTAAAGTAGCGTATATATTTTTTATAGTATTGTAAAGACTATGAAAAATTCGTCAAGATTTCTCAAACTGTTTGGGAGTTTGACATAAAATCAAAGAGAAAGAGTAAAGATTCTGAGTTTTATGGTAGTTCATGTTTCCTGTGGAGTACTGGAGTGAAAGTAAGCGAAATTTTATCTAATTCGGTTAAGGGGTTTGGGAGTTAGTAAGGAAGTTATAATCGATAGTAACACATGAAAAAACCAAATTTTAATGTAGTTTTTTTTATTGTACATCAGAAAGTAATGAGCTTTCGAGTAATCCCTTTACACGGATGTATTGTATAACAGTTCTGACATTCTTCCAGGCTAAAATGTTTCAAAAAATGTCGGAATTGTTATGAAATGCATCTGTGTACTCGAACATGTGGATTCCCAAAAAGTAACCGGAAAAACACAATTTATGTAAATAGATATCTCATCACATAAGACTAATTCTTATTCTTAATTAATTATACGGTCGAATTAATACTAAAACAATGAGCATCTATAAATACCATAGCCTTACTTACAAAAGTTTACTTTTATTACCACTAAAAAATGTTTTTTGAGCAAATAAGTCGAAATGTCTTTTCTGTCGAATCAGACGCTCACCTCAGTTTAACAATTACTCAGAAGACAAATAATTCCAAAACATTTTATTTAAAGTTATTTCGGATCGGAATTCTCGCCAATCCCTCTTCAGTTATGGTAAAATCTGCAATAGATGCTAAACAAATAATTTGGACTTTTCGAAATTACAGTAACAATTACCATGCATCGCCTAACATACTTTGATTCTTATATATGACATCATTCCAAATGTCATTCATTAATATTTCGCTATTTAAATTAATTAAATTATTGTAATTTTAATCACTGTACGTTATTAAATTGTTGTAGATATACATTATTTTCTAGAAACAAAATTTTAATATTATATTTGTGAGAAATCTGGTTCGATATGGACGAGTTATCGAACTATTATCGAATACAGGTCAGTAAGGCCCACTCATGTTGTCAATGGATGGCTTGAAATATAAAATTTTAGACTAAAAATAGTAAAATCTTAGTCTAGTCAGGACTGACACCAGATAGAGTAATTATTCGCGCCCTAACTCCCGATACTAATATTATAATAAAAATTAAAAAAGTAGGGCTATTAATTACGAGTGAGGAGTGCGATAGGGTGTTCGATATTTAACTAAAATGAGCATTCACTTCCATTTTAACAAATAAAAGTAATATTTAGGGAGACCGGGGCAAGATCGGCATGTTAAGCTTTACTTAAATTTTGTGTAATAAATACTGCTGTAAACTGAAAAAAAAGCTTTGCATATTGTCTATTGGAATGTTACCTTACTATAGAACTGGTTAAAATCAGTTTGGAAATAAAAATAATTAAAATAATTACAACTTTACAAGAAGAGAGAAATTGACGAAGTTGCCCCGGGTATAGGGGCAAGATCGGCAACTTCTCTCTTTTTGTAAAGTTGTAATTATTTTAATTATTTTTATTAAAGTTGCCCCTGGTATAGGGGCAACAGTAATGGGGCAAGATAGGCACGTATATAAAATTATGTTATTAACAATGTATAAGTTGGAATTCACTATTAAAACAAAGAAATACAAATCCAACACCCATTTAATATTATTACAACGAAATGCAAGTTCAAAGACATATATACATGAATAACAAATGCAAACATGTTTTCATTTATCATCTGTTTGATTTTTATCCTTTGCTTCTAATGTGGCTTTATGTTGCCGATCTTACCCCGCTAGTCATGATTTCGAAACATTAAGTACAACCCTGAGAACAGAATGCCAAGCCACGATCTGGCCACGTGAATAAGTTGAAGTTACATCCTTCTAACAGGAAAAGTAACTTTCGTTATCATGGAATTATAACAAAACCTGCCAATTCAATATAAATGGAAAAAAAATATTATATGGAATTGAACGAAAATGAAAATTTGCTTGATAATTCAACTACGCTTGTTGGAGAACAATAAAAACACTACACTCAACAAGCCACCAATAAAACTCAACTGCCTAACCTATAACCAAAGTCTCCTTTTAATTTGTTTTTTTTTTTTTAAAGCGCTTGACAAACTTGCCCCGCATGCCGAAGATGCCCCGGTCTCTCCTAATAAAGAAATAAAATTAAGAATGCAAATGGCAATATATAAAGTAACCTAGATGGCATTGACATATTTAACTATAAAGCTATTAATATATATTGAGAAAGAGTTTACATAGATATACTAAAATACCTCAGTTATACATATGTCCTTGGAAGGTAGAAGTTGGGAACCAGAGAAGAATAAGCACAAAATTAACCTAATGGAGGCATCATGTTCTTTATAGTTTCTTCCAATAATCTTACAGTGTCTCCAATATAATGGGTATTTTCTGCACATGCACAGGACATTTTATATTCTGTGTCAGATTCTTTAAATTTATTTTGATTTTTTTTTAGTAAATATATATTCCTTAAATTTGTTTTCTAAGTTAGTGGCTAATTCTATAGAAAACTTTCTAATCTTTTTTCAATTTCTCGAAAATTATTATTATTCTTGAACTCGAGTAGTCGTCTGATTCAGAAGTCATTTTGGTTTTGTTTTTCAAAAACTCTTTTTGAAGTGGTTATAAAAGTGACTAATTATATATGGCAAATATTACTAATTTTTGCTTCTTATTATACAAAAGTTCATTCTCATTGACAGGAAGTAAATTGGCTGTACATAGCTGTATCTGAGAATATAAGTGTGTTGTTATAAGAAAGTAACAACGAAATCGGTAAAAACCAAACACAAGTACCCGAACTGCACGATAAAAAACCTGAACAGAAAATATAAGTTAATAAGTTTAAAAAGTCTATTAGGTGGCAAAGGAAATTAATCTTGAACGTAGCAGACAAACCACAATGGAAAACAGATGCCGCAGTAAAAACATTTTCGTAGATACTTTTGTGATGAACATAGTATATAGGCATTCTTGTGCAAGGTATAAGCATTCCAATAGCGAAAAAAAATTTTTTTAACCGGTTTAGTAGATTGCAAGATTATCTGTAGAAAACAAACAAGAAACATTTTCTCTTTATACGTTAGTAAAGATTTAGTTAAAAAAATGTGAAACTGATATAAAAATCGACACTTTTAGGCAATTTTCCAGTCACATTTTTGTCAACCAATAACTTAATAACTTTATTGAAAATCAATATTTTCTTTATTCTGATTAATCAGCAAGTGTTTTTTTTTATTTGTACAAAACAAATTCAAAGTCGATTTATTACAGAGAAATTTGTCTTGTTAGATTAACTTTGATTTACTTGTAAATATAGTTGATAATTTAACGTATAGCCTAAATAGAAAATTCAGTTCCAATATACCAATTTATTATATTTTTTCCAGTCATTTAGTTTAGTAATTGGAATATTTGTTATCGAAGGAATTAT